GATTTCCCTCCCGCACAGCCTCCTTGCAGCCAGCAGACCCAAACCGCCTCTCGCCAGCCCCCGCCCGCGGTGCCAGTGCCCCATGAAAGCCGGGTGGGAGCCAAGCGTGGGCAGGCGGGCAGCCAAAACCCCCTTCCATCCCCAAACCCAAACCCCTGCCAGAGCAGGGCCTGGGCACGCCACTGCCTCTCACTTGCTCCCGCAGCTCCCCAGCCGCTTATTTATGAACCAAGTGCTCGCTTGGTTGGTTGGTGGCTCTTTTTTAATGAGTAAAACCTTCAGAATCAGCTTGAATGGGCTCTTCAGCGATACAGAGAGATCCTGCCTTTCTTGGCTTGGAGAACAGCGACTGGTTTAACAGATTTTTTTTTAAAATAATTTTGGGACTCTGAGCCTTTTCTCCCCCCCTTCCTAGTAGATTTGCTGGGCCTGCATTTCTGCATTTGGGCAGGGACTCTCCAAACCTCAATGTTCTGCGTCTTTCCATGTTTGCATCCCTGGGACGAGCGGCTGCCGCATCCCCATCACCGCTGCCAGAGAAGCCCCATCCCACAGCCGCCGGTCCGGGGGTGGCCTGTGCCATAGCTCTGCCTAAATTATACAAAATCCCCATCCCTGGGAGAAACCTCTTAAAACTGTAACGTGCGGAAGCCAGATTTGATCCGAAAGCTGGGGAGAGAGAAGGCACGACCACATGTTAAGGTTTGGCCTTTGGTTGTCTGCAGCATGTACAGGGTCTTCCGCGAGCCCAGCGGGACAGGAATGGGCCTAACCCGGCGGTTTCATTTTCTGGCTCTTTCTGGCAAGCGGCAGAGCCGGAACGCACCCTCAGCACAAGAAGCACCCTGGGCTGGCTTAATTCTCCGTGGCTTTTGGCAAGCTCTGATGAAGGAGACGTGCTGGGGACATTTCGGGGCAGAAGACAGTAAAGCGATCCCGGAGGAACCTCCCTGCACGGGGCTGGGGCTGTGTGTCTGCATGTCCGTGTGTCCATCCGTGTTTCTGTGCAGTGGTTTTGGCGGGACCCAGCATCTCCGGACTCGCCGCTGCAGCTGGCACGACCCGGAGATCGAGAGCCTCTCCTCTATCACCATTGTCGTCTGCCAATTTATTTTTTAAGCCAATAAACTCTAGAGGGGAACCCCCACCTAAGGATGCTCTTTGGCTTCCCGGGGTCAGTAACGCCCTACAAGTGATGCTCCTCTGCTGTTACCATTTTTTTTAAACAGTGTTTTGTAAGATCTCCAACCAACTATGCAGAGAACATGTGGATCTGTGTCTCTCTCTCCCCAGCTCCCCTTTCCCCCCACCTGCCTTTTTCAGTGTCGAAGTAAAATATTTAGCTTTTTTTTTTTTTTTTTTGGATAATAATAAAACTTTGGAAAAAAAACAGAAAAGGTCCAGCTTTGTGGGTGGTGGTGGGTGGAGATGCTTTGAAACTCTAATGTTGATGTAAATACTTTGCAATTTGATAATTAAATACAAACAGACCTCACAAAAAAAAAGTGTAGCTAGTGTATGAGAGGACTTCTTAGCATCCCTGTTACAGGAGTCGGTGCTTCCTGGAGCACGTGCAACATCCATGTGTGGCTCCTGGTGCTTCAGGGGCTCTTTCTGGCCGATGTTTCTGGGCTCTGGTGCCACTTCTGTGCTGCTGGAGCCATTCCCGTCTCCCCACATGGGCTCGTGGTCCAGCGCAGTCCCAGTGCCTGCTCCTGCAAGAGGAGCCTCATCCATCGCGTCCCTCCTGCTCCAAGGGCCGGGGACAGCCGGCTGGCGGTGATGGGCGAACTCCCCATGCCCAGACCTCTCTGGCGGGAAATCACTGCCATGGTGGCAGCAGAATCAGGCCAACGTGCTCCGAGCTGAGCTGGGACGCAGCCTGCATCGCCGGTGGGATCCCAGCTGCAGCCATCAAGGCTGAGCGGAGGGCTGTGGCACGTGCTGCCGGCATGCAGCGTTAGCCGTGAGGGACCCCAGGGGCTCCTCCGCTGCGTCCATCAGTGCTTCCCAGCCTCTGCATGCTGGGACATCTGGGACCCTGCCCACACACAGGGAGCACTGGCCCCCATGGGGCTGCGAGTGACATGGTGACCCTGGTGTGCACATTGATCTGGCCAAAGCCAGGGCCGGCGGAGCTGCCCCAAGCCCAACAGGCAGGAGACCTGACTGCCAACCCCCATCGGCTGGGCTGGGGGGGGACAGCACGGGGGGCAGCCCTCCCTTCACAGCAGAATCTGCTTCATCAGCAACTACAAAAAGCAGGCCTGCTTTGTTAGGATAATTAGTGGGTGCTGATTGGGATCCCTCACTCAGTGATTAAGTAATTGATATATAGCACAGCACTGGGGGGGAGTAGGCTCTCTGAAAGCAGGGTGGTGGCTGCTGCTCCTCCTCCTGATGCTCCTTCACCACTACCACAGCCTGGGGTGGCTTTAGTGCCCCGAGCCCCTGGGTCTGGCTGCTCGGCGCTGGCATGCAGCTGCTCGCTCCTCCTTGGGCTGGTAAGTGACTCAGTCTTATCACCTGAAATGTTTAATGCTTTGTTTTGCTTCTCTTTAAAGCAATGAAGCGATTGAGGGATTATCTCTTGTTGGCAAGTCCCTTGGTCCGTGTGCAATGTGTGGGCTGGGGGTGGATTGGCAAGGTCACCCCTGGGAGGGGAGCTGGGGCGGAGACTCCTCCAGCCCTTGGTTTTGCACCTTCAGCATTGCTGCTTGGGAGCGGGGAGGCCAGGGTGCTGCAGTCTACTCCGAGCCCTGGGGCAGTGTGGGTGTCTGTGGTGGGTGGTGCCCAGGGGATGAGGGGACCAGATTTTGGTACTTCAGCCCTGCCTATGACACTGCTCGCTTCCTCCTCTCTCTGTCCCCTTCGCTGTGTCCGGTCGTCAGCCTCGGTGGCAGCCAAAGCGTCTTAAAAGGATGGTCAGGGCAGTTGACCCTCCTCGGTGACATCCCTCTCGACTCCCAAGTCCTTTGTAGAGGCCAGTCATGGGAAGGGGGTGACGTTAGTCTGGAGGGGCAGAGGCTTGCTGGCCCAGGAGGTGTGAGATGGGAATCGCTGCCGGGATCCGCTCGGACCAGCGGGAGCCCCTGCCAGGCATCCCCAGCCTGAGCCGGGCAGATGCGCCTGGGGATTACACCACGTGCCTCCTTTAATGGACTTAATCTTGCTGTTTGCTTCACGCTCGTGTTGCGCCCTGTAAGCCTGGGAGAGGATTTGGGTGTTAGGGTGGTGAGGGGGTGGGGGTCCTGTGCTAGGCAGTTTGTGCTGGCAATGGGTTTCTAAAATTGCAAGGATGAATTGTTTGGCCTGAACATCCCCTACGCTTTCCCCAAAGCTCAGCGGTAGCACCCCCAAAGCGCAGT